AGTTGAATGCCTTGTCATAGTCAATAAAACACAAGTAAACATCTTTCTGGTATCCTGTACTTTCAGCCAAGCTCCATCTGACCTCGACATTGATATCCCTTGTTCCACGTCCTCTTCTGAACCTGTCGTGGGTTTCTGGCAGCTTCTTGTCAATGTATCACTACAACTATTTTGAAATATCTTCAGCAAAATTTTACTTGGATGTGATAGTGTGTTAGTCCAGGTCAACTAGAGAAACAAATTCATAGACACTCATATGTGTATAAGAAAGAACTTTGTATGAAAGAGCAATTGTATATCGAGAAAACATCCCAGCCCAGTCCAGATCAAGTCCATGAGTCCGATTGTGGCCCATATGTCTGATACTAGTCCATAAATTCCTCTTTAGACTCACGCAGCACATGCAATGATGTCGAATACAGGAAGATCATAGGCCAGTGGGTAGATAGTCTTGTGGATCCAGTGGCAGTGGAAGCATCTCAATGGGCACAAACATGGATCTCTTCCAGTTGGTTGGCCAGGTAGTTGTGTTCAAGATTTCTTGTCTTACAGTACTGCATCAGTTTATTGAACCATTTCAATCGGTATTCTGATATTTAGTATCTGTTCATTTGTATCTTTTTGTGCTTTGTGTGTAGCTATGAGTCTGCTGTGAGGCTGTGTGACTGGGAGTATGTGTGACCATGCCATGAACCTTGATTCTGAGTGTGGTGGTGAGGTTATGTGTGTTCAGTCTATTGTCCTGTGTTCTTCACGTGTGGTTGTGAGTCTGTGTACAACTTTGGCTATGTTTCTTTGAGCCTCTCTCTGGGTGATGTGAAGTCTGCCCCTATGGTCTTTCCCTGAGCCTCAGGTTGGGGTCCTGATGGTGCCTGTTGTGTAGCTGTGATCCCTGCATGAGCAGGAATCACTCTCCTGCTGTGGGACAGTAAATGCGTCCCCTCTCCCTCCTCCAATTGTGGGTAAGGTGGGGGTATCCAGGCTGACTTTGAAGCCCCAGCCAGCATCTGGCCTTTCCGGGAATTCTGTGCTCTCTGTGGGGAGTGGGTAGGTGGGTGAGGGGGCATAAACAGAGGCTTCTTATTCACTTGGGCTTCAAACAACCTAGCCAAGTTGGGGCTTGTCCATCCTGCTCGACTCCATGCAAGGGATACATGCCTAATCTGGGGGCAGATATGCCTGCTGTGTGCCTGGCTGGCCTGGACAGAGGCACAGTGGAGTTCCTTAGTTAGAGCCTGGACAGGATCTGCCCCATGTCTGGGCAGGAGGCCAGGATTCCCCAAACCAAACCAAACCCACTGCCACTGAGTCCATGCCAACTCATAGCCACCCTATAGGACCTAGTAGAACTGCCTGTGAGTTTCCGAGACTGTCACTCTTTGTGGCAGTAGAAAGCCCAGGCTTTCTCCCGAGGAGCGGCTGGTGGTTCCAAAATGCTGACCTTTTGGATTGTAGCCCAATGAGTGTGCCCAGGTCTAAAAAATAGGATTCCCAGGCACGTTCCTCACCTGACCATGAATGCGCTCCCTGCCGCCATCCCAGGATCCAAGGGCTATCCGAGGCCTGCCCATAGCTGCCTGGCTGTATCTGTCCCATGTCATTGTTGCCCCCAGGCCTGTATATCCATCTCGCCTGCTCTTCTACTGGACTCTCACTTTCTCTGTTGGTTGTCCTCTGTCCCTCATGGTCTCTCTGTTTCCTCTCTCCCCTTATCTCCCTGGGCTGGTGTGTTTGCTCCCAGCCTCAGTGAGGGGCTGCGGCAGGCTGTTCTCCCTTGCTTATCTATGGGCTCCTGTTTTTGACCAGGCATGGCTGACTGCTGCCTCTCTCCAGGTGTTTGTGTGAGCATATTTGCCTACCTGTCTGTCCTCACTGTAGACCATCTGTCCCTGTGCTGTTTCCCTGCCTGCTTCCTGCCTCGGTTTGTGACTAATTGTTTTTCTAATGCGCTCTCTCTGGGTCACCTACTCTCTGCTTCTCTTCCATCTGCTCCTCGGTCTGTCCCCATGACCTCAGTTTCTCGAGATGGGGAGCTACGCTTTTCAGCCTTTCTGTCCACCTTCCCTTTGCTCACCTCCAAAAAAAATTGGCCAAATTCACTGTTATCAAGTCTATATGCCAACTTATAGCGACCCTATAGGAGAGGGTAGAACTGCCTCTGTGAGTTTCTGAGACTGTAGCTCTTTTTTTGCCCTGTAACAGTTTCGTTGGCATATAATGCTCACATCACAAGAAGTGTTGTACAATCATCACCACCATCGGTTTTAGAACCTCTTCATTCCAGTGCTCATTGTTATTGGCTTCCCATACCCTTCCTGAGACGGTAACTCTTTTTGGGTGTAGAAAGCCCCGTTTGTTGGTTGTTGTTTTTTTTTTTTTTTTTCTCTCTCCCGCGGATCGGCTGGGGATTTCGAACTGCTGATTTTGCAGTGAGCAGCCCCTAAAGCCTAATCACTTGTCCTCCACGTGGGTCCAGCTAGGGGGTGAGCTTCTACCTCCCCCTCCTCCACTTCTACCCCTACTCTCCGACTCTGGCCAGAAGGAGGGCGATTGAATTAAAATGAAAACCTCTTCCTAGAAAAGCAGAAAACCTCGCCCACTTGGTGGGGCGCGTGCCGGCCGAGGTGATTAGCTGGGGTGTCGCACTGGATTAGCTGAGCGGCCCGCGCGGGAGGAGCGAATTAGCATGAGTCGGAGCTGGGCTCTGGGGTCCAGGAACTCAAGTCAGTGCTGCTGCGGATTCTAAAGCGGAGAGCGGCTTGAGGCAGGCTGTGGATGCGGGCTCCCGGAGACTCAGAGGCACGAGTGAGTGTCCCAGGAGGGGGCCATAGGGATTCCCTGGAGACATGTTTAGCATGGGTGGAGAACTGAAGGGGGGAAAACATTCTTTTGGGACCTTCCTCCTAGGAGTTGAATTCGGGAGTGAGTGGGAGCCCGGGGAGAAGGCTCATGGCTTGGTCTGGGGCTCCTTGAGACCCTTCCCCAACCCAGGAATTGAGGAGGGAATTCCAGGAGAACATTTTAGCGCTGATTGGGCCTTTTAGTTTATTTTAAGATCATTTTATTGGGGGGCTTTTACAACTCTTATCACAATCCACACAGCAATTGTATCGAGCATATTTGTACATATGTTGCTGTAATTATTTTCTAAACATTCACTTTTTATTTGAGCCCTTGGTATCAGCTCGTCTTTTTTTCCTCCCCCTCCCCCTTTGTGACCCCTTGATAGATTATAAATTACTATTTTCATGTCTTAGACCAACCTCTGTCTCCCTTCCCCGCGGTTTCTTCCCCCCTCCTCTCCGCACCTTCCCCTTTCCCTTCTGATATCTGTACTCCCATTTCTGTTCCTGAGGGGTTATCTGATCTGGATTCCGTGTGTCCTGAGCTGTTATCTGTACCTGTGTACATGCTTCAGCCTAGCCCGCAGTGAAAGGCAGGCTTGGGGTCATGACAGTAGGGGAGAGGAAACCTCAAGGAACCAGAGGAATATTGTGTGTTGCATCAGTGCTATACTGCACCTTGGTTGACTCATTCCTTTCTTGTGACCTTTCTGGGCCTTTTTTTAATTTTAGATTTAATCATTTTATTGGGGGCTAGTACAACTCTTATCACAGTCCATACATACATCCATTGTGTCAAGCACATTTGTACATTTGTTGCCATCATCATTCTCAAAACATTTTCTTTCTACTTGAGCCCTTGGCATCAGCTCC